ATGGTTTATAGCATAGGTCTTATGATGGCTATGTAAGTCCATGTAACGACTCTGGGGGAGAAACCCCAGGTGCGCCCCACGGTTTAGTGGCATTTACATACTTTGATTACTATACGAGGCAAGAGAGAGGTCCGACACGCCCAACATAGCGCGCGGCCATTTTGAACCCTGTGACACAGTTAACAGCTAAAGAATCAGATCGCTCACTCTGCGTCGGCACTTTTGATCTCAATGTTTCAGTTTATACACTGTGCAACTCGGATAATACAATATATGAACCGCCTATAATAAAACAGCAGTCTTCTGCGTATCCTGAATTTGTATCCCAGAGGGTCGATTCTCGACTCGTAGGAATATTTTCCTATAGCAATTTTTGACATTTTTATATACATCGAAAATTTATGACATTTTCCTACATATAGGAAAGTGTCACAAATTCCTATAGGAAAAGGTTCCTACAAGTCGAGAATCGACCCCCTGGAGTAGATGTTATTTTGGAACTTTCAACTGGTCCGAGTGAGCTAACTGATTCTTTAGCAATAAACTGTGACTTTAAAAATAATATTCACTGACACTGACAGCAGCAAGCAAAATATCAGGTGCGTTTTAATCATCCGCTTCTGCTTCCGGAATTGTCGGTTTAGTCGTTTTAACCTGTCAGATTAAAACAAGAAAACCGACAATTCCGAAGCAGAAGCGGATGATTAAAACGCACCTATTAAAAATATTTTGCCAAGATGTAGGCAACACGTAATAAGGGTTCAAAATGGCGGAGTTTTCTATCTTCTTTTAAAAGGCACTCAGAAAGCTGCGCAGTGCGACCATTCTCCGTATAGTAAAAGGAAATCAAAGTATATGGTGACATTATTCATACGTAATGTATGCCATTCTGACTATGTTTTCTAACTGTGAGTTCTATGTTAACTTGTTGTCAAAGGTGCTACCTTGCAACGAAAGTGAAGTACTTCACCTCTGTTGCAAAGTTTTGTTTTGTGTTTAGGAGCTTTGTAGGTTTTAATTCCATGTTCATCATTTTCCTAGTAAAAAAGATTATTTCTGTCTTCTTGAGATTGATAGACAGTAAATGGTCCTTGCTCCACTGTTCCATAATTATTCTATTTGCAGAATGACCAGGTCATCTGCTTTCGCTATTGTGTAGTGACTGTCATTATTGTACCTACAGTACTTATTTCGCTATTAAAATAATGTATTTGACATAATGAACATAGTAAGAATTTTCTGTCTGTCATTGTTACTTAGTATGTGTTTTAATAATTATGAACCAAACGACAAAAACTGATTAACTTTTATACGTTTCCCAGTGTATTAAGTTCCCTTGCTTTGGTACATACGAAAACTCATTCAGTTTCGCTTCTTGGGTAGGTATTCTTTGCTTTTAATAAACACCAACAATAATAATTGATTGAAACGTCAAAGTTGTTATTATAACAGTCATAGGTAAATGTAAGCATTATTTTAAGTTCCGCGGAGATAATGTATATATAGCTGTAACTCTGAAATTATAGCATTTAGGTATAACATTACATGAAAAATAATCAGTATTTCTTAAGGATTTCAAAAAACAGCCAATATACCAGGTGTTCAAATTAAAGTGTTACAGTTAAATACCGCCGAAAATATGCATTTTAGAAAAAAAAGTTTCAGACAAAAGTTTTATAAATTCCAAATATTATCCATATCTCAAAGTGGTCCGAAGTAGATTAAAGGGAAGTAAAAGGCTCAAAGTCTGTCGACCACATAAATTTATGGTCGACAGACTTTGAGCCTTTTACTTCCCTTTAAAAGTTTTATAGTTTTTTAGGGGAAACATTTTGACTAAATTAATTTTTTTATAGCTGACCATAATATGGCCATATCGAGGTGAACTTTGTTTTTTTAAATGGGAATCCCATTTTTTTCTTACATATTCTTAAAGTACATAAAGAAATAAGAAACTTTTGAGGAAAATATTTTTTTTATTGGACTTTTACTTTTTGAGTAACAACTACTTGAAAATGTTGTTGCACGAAAAAAGTTGGCCATATTATGGTTAGCTATAAAAAACGATGTTAGCCAAAAGTTTTTCCCTACAAAACTATAAAACTTTCGTCTGAAACGTTTTTTTTTATAAAAAGCGGTATATAGCTGTAACGCTTTAATTTAGAACACCCGGTATAACAAAGTTCATTTATATTTCCAGAAAACCGAAAGATCTAACAACAATGTATATACAACCATAATATCGGCCGTATTACAAAACCCTTAATCAAAGTTTATAAAAATTGTGCAAGCCGTTTCCGAGATAATTGGCGTTCCATATTTAAAACTCACTCTGTATATGTACCCTCTTCAGAGCGTTGTTTATGACTATTATGTAGTGCGCTAGATCACTGCTGCAAAAATACAGTAGTAAGTATCATCTGCAAATAAATGATTTTGCATTTTGAAAAAAATATAATTAAAAGTAAGGGGAAAGGATGTTAAAATTAAAAAAGAAAATCACAAATCAATATAGAAAAGCGATATCAACATGAAATTTATAGTGAAAATCAAGCTCTATAGGAAGATGAAACTTATTGATTCCGAAATAAATCTGAATTAAAATGGGGGGGTTAAGGGGGGTTGAAATATTAAAAAAAAAATCGTAACTTAAAAACGAGAAAAGATATCAACTTGAAATTTTTAACAAAAATCAAGCTCTATAAGTAGAAAAAGCAATTTTATTTAAAAAAAGTTAGGGGTTTTAGAAGGGTTCAATTACAAAAAAAAATCAAATCAAAAATAAAGGAATTAAAGCCTATAAATTTAAAAAAAAAAACAATAAAAATGGGATAAGAGGGGTTGAAATATTGAAAAAAAAAACTCAGAAACAAAAAACGATATCAAATTGAAATCTTCAGGAAAAATCAAGTTTTATAAGAGGATATAAGATTCTGAAAAAATCTAATTGAAAATGGGGGGTCTGTTAAACTGTGAAGAGTATAACATAGAATGTCAAGCTTTATATATCTGCATTCTAGTTACAAGACTTTTATAGGCACATGTCAAATTTTTAATAATTCGTTTATTTGACAAGATCTTTTTAGAACAAATTTGAAAAAAATTGATTTATGAAAAATTATGAATTTTGATTTAAAACTTTTAACACCCCGTATCTCGATAACTAAGTCCTTTAATGGTTCATGTTCATATCAAAATTAATCAAATTACGGTCTAATATAGTTATTTCTGAAGATGGTACTTTTATTTTGGGAAGAATTATTTTTCTTATTATATGAATTAAAAATTTTATTAGTCGGTTAGTTTTTATGTAAAATAAATACATTTCTATGAAAACCATTTTTTTTTACTTTCCTATCTGTATACAGATATAAGGAAAGTATAGGAATCATGATTTTTTTCGACCTCGAGTTTTCGACGGATTTTTACGTTTTGAGGTCCCCTGAATCCGTTTTGACTATTTTCGCGATGATGTCTGTGTGTGTGTGTGTGTGTGTGTGTGTGTGTGTGTGTGTGTGTGTGTGTGTGTATGTGTGTGTGTGTGTGTGTGTGTGTGTGTGTGTGTGTGTGTGTGTGTGTGTGTGTGTGTGTGTGTGTGTGTGTGTGTGTGTGTGTGTGTGTGTGTGTGTGTGTGTGTGTGTGTGTGTGTGTGTGTGTGTGTGTGTGTGTGTGTGTGTGTGTGTGTGTGTGTGTGTGTGTGTGTGTGTGTGTGTGTGTGTGTGTGTGTGTGTGTGTGTGTGTGTGTGTGTGTGTGTGTGTGTGTGTGTGTGTGTGTGTGTGTGTGTGTGTGTGTGTGTGTGTGTGTGTGTGTGTGTGTGTGTGTGTGTGTGTGTGTGTGTGTGTGTGTGTGTGTGTGTGTGTGTGTGTGTGTGTGTGTGTGTGTGTGTGTGTGTGTGTGTGTGTGTGTGTGTGTCTGTATAACGCATAACTCATGAACCGATACATAGAAAAACACCAAATTTTAAACTTAAGCTTTGTTTTAACGTCCAATGAGCTGATTAGATTTTGGGCAGAGTCGGAACATCTGGGGGGTACTTTATAGGTGGTCATTTTTATATTTTATGGAATATATCTGTTATTTACGTTTGGAGAAGAAAATTCTTCAAATAAAAGTTACTTCTAATATAATTATCTATAATTTTTGTTTTATGCAAAATTTTCCTAAAATGGTCCGTATTCGAGAAATTTGATAAAATGTAAAAAAAATTATTTTTTATAAAAATTGTTCAAATAAAAGTTGTTTGTAATATAATTTTCTATAATTTTTATTTCATACATAATTTCTCTAAAATGGACCGTATTCGAGATATTTGAGAAAATGTGTAAATTTCGAATTTTGAAGAAAACTCAAAAACGGATAAAGAAAAAAACATTAAATTCTAAACTTAAGGTTTATTTCGGCCTGACGTGGAATGATTAGATTTTGGACAAAGTCGGAACATCTGGGGGGGTACTTTATGAGAGGCCGTTTTTATATTTTATGGAATATATCTGTTATTAATGTTTGTAGAAAAAAATTGTTCAAATAAAAGTTACTTCTAATATTATTATCTATAATTTTTGTTTTATGTAAAAATTTCCTGAAATGGTCCGTATTCGAGAAATTTGACAAAATGTGCAAAATTCTGATTTTTATGAAAGTTTTTGAAATAAAAGTTGTTTGCGATATCGATCTCTATAATTTTTGATTATACATGATTTTTCTAAAATGGACCGTAATGAAAAAATTGTAGGATATTTAAATTTTTCAGTATTTTCGTTTTCCATGAATATCTATAGAAAAATGTTTCGAGGTAGATGTATGTGGACAATGTATATATTTAGTTTATCCTCTAAACATTTATAGAGATGCTGCAATAGGTTGTACAAAATAACCGGAAAAGCCTATAATAACTAGATAGGAAAGTCATGTGTTGGACACATCAGATTTTTTGTATGATGTGAATGGGAACAAGGAGGCCGAATATTATTTTGCGAAGCGGGGCTAAAATATATTCTAAAAAAAACTCAACTGTCATCGCCGTCCAAAATATGTCAAAGATACAAAACCTCAAATGGACCATCTTAACAAAACTTTGCTTCTATCTCTAAAACAAGATTTGGTATCTTTAAATGAAAGTATCGAACGTTTGAGCGTCGACAAAGACCTTGCATCTTGGTTGTTTCCAACCAAAAATCACCAATTCGTCAAGAGATACATCAAAGACAAAAAGATTTTCGAATTAAACGATATTAAAATAATTTTAGAGTTAATAATAGATAGGTAAGAACTATTTTCTTCTGCTAGAATAATATATTTTGTGACCTACAATGACGATGAAGATTTCAAAATTTTATTAAAGGAATTTATTCATAAAGATAAAATTATATATAGTGTTAATGAATAGTTATTTATTTAGCGATTGGCATAAATTATTGAATAAGATTGTACCTACTTATTGGGAAGAAAAACTATGACAAAGAAAAAGTTAAATTTTAATAATTTATAGATACAAATTGTACATAATTATTAATTTCAGGTTATATGTTGGTATAAGACTAATCCTAATGTTAATACAGGATAATGTAAAAACTAACGATTTTGGAAGTTGTTTAATTCTCCAACCACAGCAAATGACTATTGGATGTAGTTTTGAAAATTTAAGAAAATTGATTGGTCAAATCATCGAAAAATTGGTAAAAACATTTATTTATATGAACAAACATATCTATCCATACTACCTAATAAATTAATTATTAGTTGGTTATATAGGTATATAGTAGGTAACATAATACATACCTATTTGTGTTTCCCAATAAATTTTATTTATCCTTAGGAACTAATATGTCACTCATGAAATTATGAAGTTAAAAAGTCTTTAGATTCACTAATTAAACCAAACACAATTGACTATTTCGATGTTGAACCAAAACTGGTTTACGTAGTTGTGAACAATTTAAGAAAATAGTTCTTAATTAAACATATCTTGTGATTTCAAACCGCAAAACTTGTTTCAACTTGTCTTGCAATGTTGTGATTAGGTATCGTATCTAAAACAATAATTAAAACTACGTCATTATAAAAAATTATATCTAGACCGACTAAATCTGAAAATTCGATTGTTAATACAGATTGTAGTGTAAAAAATTAAAAAACTTGTCATTTGATAATATTAGATTGCATTCCGTTTTTTTAACGTTATAATTAAAATGCAAGATTGGATTATGCATAAGATTAATTTCGAATGGAATCATAATCTTTGTAGCATTCGAACAAGAGACCAGTAGTCTGAATTTTTAACAAAAATAGTAGACAAAAACTATGAACCCATGGGAGCTGTCAGAAGGGACAAAAGGGCCGTTGTGCAACAAGGACCACACGGGAGGGGCGCAACCGAGTTGGGCCAACTACCTGCTATAATCCCCGGTAACCGCTTGGCTATTTTAATCCTTTAAACTCATTAAAGGGCTATGTTGAATTAGGCCAGAAAATAAAAATTCTTATTTGTAAACAATGTTTATTTCATATAGGTTCAAATACATAATAAAGTACAGGTTATATTATACTATTTGGTGCATATTTAAAAACAATGCATTGAACAAAATTGAATCTACTTTACTCATTACATTCGAATTGTCGGAGTTTTTCCGATAAATATAATTTTCTTTTTTCGATGTGAGGCCGTAGTTTTTTTACATACTTATTAGCGCTTATAATTTTTACATTTGTTTCTGTTTGAAAGTTAAGTAAAATTTCTACAAACTGAAAAATATTCGGATGGCAAGAAAAAATGGGTATTAAATAATAAATGAAACGACTCACAAGAATTTGTGATACGTGTCATCGAATCTGAGGCTGAAGCCCATACAAACGGCGAAAATGTAGCATTTGCCCCAATATAGTCATCTACTAAATAGTCGCAAAATTCAATTACTTTTTGGTTACCTACTACATCGTTGTTTTCAAACAAATCAAATGCAAAACAGTCACCAACGTCTTCTGGTTTTAGAAATGGAAGACCAAAGAAATATTTCAAATATTTTCCTACTTGATTTTCTGAACGGTAATCAGCGCTTAATACTAAATATTGAATTTTTCGATACCAGGCTTGGGATAAATGAAAGCGACAGCCTATTATTTTTACGTTTTGCCACATAACTTTAACTGTATTATGAATCGCTAACTCAAAATCAATTACAACAAATGTTTAAAGTAAAGACTTAATGTTTGACATTTTGCATCCAATAACTCAAATAATTTTAGATACACAGATTGTGATTTTGAGGGCAATAAGCAAAAAACTAAAGGTACAAAGTGTCCATTTTTGTAACCGTGAATTGTAAAAAACTCTACAAAATATTTGGTCGAATATTGAAATGTACCGTCCATATAAACAGTATCAACTGAACATAAAAAATTAAAGTTGCTTCTGCAACCAAACACAATTATCTGTGAAGGCATATCGCAAATAAAAAGAAACTCTTCGTTTTTATTTGTAATAGGATTCATCTTACCTAAACAAGTAAAAACATCCTCTTGATTTTTGGGGAGCGTGGACATAACAGAACGTCTTGCGGCATAAATGTTTTTTTCGCACTCTATGAATGTCGTGCGACGTGATATCGTCACAAAACTCGTTTTTCCTTAATTCTGGATGGATGAGTTTTGAGTGTTTTTCTGACAGGCCCTGCAATGCCGGAGCAGGTCAACTCGGCGATGTAAAGTCGGCGACGGTCAACTCGGCGATGCCGAGTCGGCGATGATCATCTCGGCGATGGTAAACTCGGCGACGATCAACTCGGCGGAAAGGAATACAATAATATATTATTCAATTATTTATAATAATACAAAATAAGATACAACCTATAAAAAAAATTTGATTGGAGAATTTGATTAATAAAATAAAAATATATAAGAGATTTAAATAAGAAACTGGAAAAAAGTTATTATTACTAAAGTAAATCAACATATACAGGAAAAAATATATTAAATATTAAAACCAAGAATCTGAAAAAGAAACTTCTTGATTAAGAAATTAAAATTTAACGGCCAGAGTTGTTTGGAATTACAAAATTAAGGTGGCAATAAAATCAATTAAGGGTCTTAACTACAATTAGGGTTTTTAATACCTAGTATTAGAAAGCAAATAAATATTAACGGCTTAAGATTTTTCAAAGCAAAATAAAAATAAGATTACCTTATAATTGCCTGCTTAAGGGCTTAAGATTTTTCAAAACAAAATAAAAATAAGATTACCTGATAATTACCTGCTTACCTACATCCTATAAAAGACTGGTGATATTCACTTTCCTTAATATTCCGAATTCATCTCAGAAGTAAAGACATTGTGTGTAATTTTGTTTTTCCTGTACTATATTGCTTGCTGCCCAATAAAAGTGCAGAAACATATCTCAATGTGTTTAACATGATAAAAGTTCTTTGGCCGCAATTAAATCCGGAAAGCATCAGTGTCGAGTGTCGACTTTGAGTTGGCAATTCACCAGGCCGTAAGACAAGTTTTCCCAGAAGCCGAAATTAGAGGATGCTTATTCCACTTAGTCAAAAATCTTCGAAAGCATTTATCTTCTTGCAATCTCCTAGGAATGTACAATACTGATCCCGAATTTGCACTACAAGCAAAAATGTTAACATCATTGGCATTTGTCCCAGAAGAGGATGTGATTGAGGCCATTGCCGAATTGGAAAATGAGTTGCCAGAAATATTAGAACCAATTTTAGAATGGTTTACCAGCAATTATATCGGTCGACTTAGGAATAATGGAACCAGAGTGCCAGCAACTTTTCCATCAGCAGTTGGGTCCGTTTATTTTCGAACATTGAATGGACGAGATAGTACAAATAATTTTGCAGAAGCATGTCATCGCAAGTTGCAACTGGCTTTTGGTTCTGGCATTGCTCATCCTTCGTTATGGACATTCATAGATAATTTAAAAAAGGTACAGTCTTCGTACGATGCAGACTATGAACGAACAATTGCCGGGCGCAATGGCGCATCAAAAAGGAAACGTTATAAGGAAGCCGACGAGAGGATTTTAAATAAAGTGGCCAATTATAACAGGCAAAATTTGATCGAGTATCTCAGAGAGATATCACATAATTACAACATGAATTAGTTTTTTTATATTATATTCACGGAAAAAAATTGTAGAACAAATTTCTACAATTGTAGATTTTTTCTCTACAATAAATAGTACATATAGGGACAGGGACAATTTGTAGTAAAAATTTCCAAATATTTGTGGAGAATGTATTGTAGAGTTATTATCTACAATATTTAGTAAAAAGATCCAAATGCATCATAAGAATTGTTCTACAAATTGTTATAATTTTTGCTATTCATTGTATGAATTTATATTAAAAATGTATTGCGTTTTATGAAAATAAATACGAAAATTTTACACAATAAATAGTAAAAATTCATACAAATTGTAGTAATTTTTAATAAAATTTGTAGTAGTATTCCATAATTATTATAATTATAACCTAGAAAAAAATGTTCCTCAATAAAATGTTCAATTTATTGTTTTAATATAAAAGATACAAATTCTTAATTACATTATGTAATAAATAATAGTAATAATAGCGCCCTCAGTCTCAGTTGGCTTTTCTGCACCTGAAAAATATTAAATAAAAATTAATACCAATTGAATTGTTCATACCCTTAAAACGGGGATATTTATCACCTTTACACTGATTTGGATATTAAATGACTAAGTCAGATAACTAACAAAAATGAGAAAGTAGGTATGTCACAATTAAGACAAAAAACATCATTGAACTTGGCACAAAATTCGATCGTTGGGCACAACATTCGATCGTTGGCTACAACTATTTTTTTTAAATAATCTACTAAGGTTATTTAAATTAGTTATCTAAAGGTAAATTATTCAGAAACAATAATAAATGTACTTACCACCAATAAAATTTATTATTAAAATTTTCTCAAACGCATCGGTGCTTATAATATAATAATGTGTTATAGGTACTCGTATATGTACCATGCTTTGTTATGTGAACATGGCGAACGGCTACTGCTGTCTGGCCGTTTATGATCGACGTCAGAAAACGTTGGCCAATAGCAGAATTCTGTTTTGTTCACATGACTTAGAATTTCTACAATATTATAGAATATTTTTGAAGAAGGGATGTAAAGTATTACTATTTTTTGTAGAGAAAATTACTATTTTTTGTAGAGATAATTATTAATATTTGTTCAAATTTTTACAGAAGTTAGTAGTAGTAATTACGATAATTGTAATAAATTTCTACTTCTACAAACAATAGTAAAATATACTAAACATTGTGGACTTCTTTCCTATTGTTGAAGCATTTTATTCGACAATTCAATTGCTACAATAATGAATAGTTTTTAACTATAAATTGTAGTAAAATTTTCTACAAATTGTTAAGTATTTTTCTACAAGTCTATTACTACAATATTGTAGTAAAATTTTCTAGTCACATTTTTTTCCGTGTTGTATTATAATAAATATATGTATTATAAATAATTGTAATGTGTATTATAATAAATAACAATATTCTATAATCAACCTTTTTTTATTTCAGTTTTTATTTTTTAATTCCGTTTCAGCATATAATACGTTACTTAAATTTTTTTATTTCATAACCTAATATTTTAATATATTATATCTTATTTTTATTTTGCATTGAAAAA